AATAATTTGAAATGGGTCGGCTAAAATTTAAAACGTTGGTATAATATTTTTATTTTTAAGCCTTATAATAATATAATATAAATAATAAATGAAACCGTTTTCGTAAATTCACAGTATTGATAATTGGTACAAAGAAAGTTACGTATCTTTCAGATATATTTTCGTTATTAAATGAGTTAAATTTGAGTATGCAAGGGCCATTAACTAATATTTTTACATGTTATAATAAAGTTGAAGCTTTTCTAAAGAAACTTGATCTTTGGATAAAACGAATTCAGGAAAATACATATGATATGTTTCCATCATATTATAATATGACTGAAGAAAAATTATTTAAAAAAAATGAAATTAATATAATGCAATGTGTAATTAAAACACATTTGTTGAAATTAAAAAATAAATTATTAATGTATTTCCCACCAACTCATGATATTCGATCAAACAATATGTGTATTCTTAACCCGTTTTTGCCCTGTGAAAATCATGAATTTGCGTCACTGCGTCTACATTACCAATAATTGAGGACTAAACATGAATCAAATAAAATAGTAAGACTTAAGACCACTAAATTTGAATAATATATATTATAACAATACAAAATTATATTCTTACCGTGTCATTAAAATGTTCAACTTTTTTTCTTCGTATTGAAAATTGAATATAACATAGTTCTCTTTTCAGACATACTTATTGCTATTTAATTTATAGTTTTGAATACAAAAAAAATTACTGCTTACTGAATAATTTAATAATTTACACTATGACTAATAACTATTGACTAACTCGTAAAATAATACACATTTTAGGTATTTTACGTTAACGATACGGTTGTAGATTTTCTGAATATTGATAAGTGATAACTGATTACACTATTTACACTTTACACAACGAAGATTGTGGTACGGAGACCATTAAACTGTCCATGTCACCAAAACAGCTGTGTTACTCACTGGCGCCCTTTTGAACTAGAACCACGTTAGTGAAACATGATAACAGTAATAGTGATTACTGAATAGTGAATCCTGGTATAAGAGTATTATTGTAGTATGCGTTCACTGCGTTCATGTATACGAATAAATTTAAATCTTTAAAACAGAATCTAGTAAATACGGCCAACGAGGGGGAGGGGGCATGGCCCCTGTGCCCCCCTGGATACGCCACTGTCCGAACTTAAACAAAAATATTGTAATATTATAAAAGAAACTATTATGACGTATTTGAAACTTTGTATTCACTGCGAGAAAAAATCGTCAAATCCAAAAACTAGTTTCCAAGTCTATTTTGCATAAAGCATTTAATTCACTTGCGCAAATGGATCTCATAGACATGCAGTCACAAAGTTTTAATGATTTTCGATACATTATGAATTATCAGGATCACTTAACAAAATTTGTGATTCTAAGACCTTTAAAAACTAAAAGGGCCAAAGAAATTGCTTTTAATTTAATGGATATTTATACCATTTTTGGAGCACTAGCAATTTTACACTCTGACAATGGCAGAGAATTTGTCAATAAAATAATAATAGAACTCAATGAAATGTCGGGAGACATAAAAATCGTTCATGGAAAACCTCGACACAGTCAATCACAAGGGTCAATAGAACGGGCAAATCGAGATTTTGAAGATATGCTTGCTACTAGGATGGCAAAAAATAACTCAACTGATTGGCCAACAGCATTGAAGTTTATTCAGTTTCAAAAATAACCGTGCGTTCCACTCTGGTAGGTACCTAATGGCTAATTAAAACTAAAATAATATAATTCGCACTGCGAGTACTTTACTGTAGTAACTAAAAATGTTTGATTTTGAGAAAATCGAGTTTTTACGTTTTTAATACCTTAAATCACTGTTAAAATAAAAAGTATTTTATTTAAATGTTTGAAACTTTGGTATTATACTATATTATTAATTATACCAAGTGTTTTTAATAAATTTAATGTGTTTAAATACTATTAAACAATGTTTTTATCAATTAAATAATTATTTTTTTAGTTACTACACTATTTCATTTTAATATTTACTTTAAAATACCTATTAGAATGCAGAATATAACATAGCAGGTAACTTATAAACTTATAAACATTAACAAAAAAAAACATTTTAAATGTATTTCTTTTAATTTTTTAATTTTGCCAGTACGGCATAACACACTAGTGCATTGCAAAGAACGCTATTTTTACCATAAGAAAACATGTATAACTCAAAATAGTCATTTTTTGAGTTACTACACTAATGTACTCACAGTGCGATATGTATCTAACGTTATTTAAATAAAATCATTCGATTTATATTGTTACAATCTGACTACGTCCGTTTGATGGTGTTGAGAATAAATGAACAAGAGTTTATTTTTCCTTTATAAATTGAATAGATTTTATTTAATTAATACAAAAACACAATAAATTTACTAAGTCCAAATTGACTATTTTAAATAATGAAGACTAGCGAGATGTGACTGTCATATCCTAGCTCCTAGCTTGTAGTTGGTGTTGGTCCGTCTGCCGAAGCCTATTCGAGCGACGTATTTTATAATGGCGATCCTTGGATCGTATCCCTGCCTATTATCCTACTACTTTACCATATAAGGTCATGACCGATTAGTCATTTTTTTTGTCTAATAGACTGGGTATTACTTTAGTAAGTAGAGCTAGTAGCGGATGTATGAGGGCTTTGAATTCATCTACAAAAATTTACATTACTGATATCAGATGTACAGGAGTCAGAGGAGTTTTGTGGAGGAACGTTGGAAGTAGCTTGAGCGTAAGTTTTGGTATTAGAAAAATTATTAGGTGAGCTATCTTGCAATGGGTGGCTTACTTGTTCATTTGATTGCTTAAGTCTAGAATTGTTTACAGGTGCATTATTATTTTTATTTTAATACTCGCGTTGTTGCAGTTCTCTGTATATGGTGCAGCCCTTGTAGTTGGCAGGATGATTATTGGCACAAAGAGCACATTTTGGCGGGTGTTCACGAGAGTTTGGACAGGCTGCTGAAGGATGATTAGCTCCACATCTCGCGTGGGGGGTATCCACAGTAGTTTTATGTGTGGCCGTAGTCTTGACAGTTGGTGCACTGGCTTATTACTTTGGGTTTGTACGGTTCCTCTACTTTGACTTTGGTGTGAAGCAAGTTTTGTAGTAGGAAGATTTCTTTGGATTTTTCAACAGGTTCCAGGTCTATAAAAAATAGTGGCTGAGGGACTTTGCTATTTTTATGTAGAACATTTGTAACTTGGCGGATATCGAAATTACGGAATAATAATTCTTCTTTGATAGTTTCAGTTTTGGTAGAGGGATGTAGGTTTCGGATCACTAAGCGTAATGGCTTATCTTCTTTTAGTTGATAAGTGTGATATTCGGCTTTATTTTCTTTTAAGAGTTGAATTGTTGCTCTGTAAGATTCAGGGTGCATTGTTTGAATTTTAAGACGATCTATTGTAGATTTACAGATGAAATTATCAACTCCAATGAGTTCAATTAATTTGGTACATAGACCTTGAAAATCAAGCACTCCTTTTATATAAATAGGAGGAGGTGGTTTAACCAAGGGTTCAGCATCATGTTCTGATATATCATTATCACCAGGATCATCTGAATTATTTTCATTTTCATTTTGGACAAGTACTTCATAACGGTTAGTGGTTTTGAATAATTTGCTTTTATGAGTTTGAGGAGAGTCTGGTTGTGAGTTTGATGAACTAGAAAGCAGTCTTTTATTTTGTTGGGTCGTTTTCCAACCATCAGCTGTGTTGGTTAATTTGATCGCGATCGGTTTAGTTGCTTTTTTGGAAGTTTGGGTGTTATTAACATTAGATTGTGAGTTTGTGTTATTCTTGGTCATGATGAAGGTAATTATTTAAAATATATATATTACTATCACTGAAGATAAGTTGTTGAACGTTGATCGTTGGGTGTAACTCGGCGACTTTACGATAAGAGGTACCGCCGCATCGGCCGGTACCTGTGTGTGTGTGTGTGTGTGTGTGTGTGTGTGTGTGTGTGTGTGTGTGTGTGTGTGTGTGTGTGTGAGCGTTATGCAATACAGTGAATAGTATAACGTAAAAGAAATGATTTAAATTAATAAACTTTAGAGCACTTAGTGAATGAGCTGAGCTTACTGTTGTCTCTGTGTATAAAGACAAGCTGAAAGAAACACGCTATACGTATTTTGGTTTAAGTTTCAAAAAATGTGAAAAAAAAAAAAAGTAGCGAACAGACACGAGCGAAATACATCATATATATACGGAGCGCAGAAAGACACGTGTGTATCGAACGAGTGTCGCCGCGCGAAACTTTAAAATAGCAACGAAATCGTTCATAAAAACGGTTGGAATATTCACTACCTACTAGAGCTAGCGAAATGATGTGTAGTGAAATATAGAACTAGACAGCATCAGTCATTGGGCTTATCACCACTATTATACACAAGCGCTGGTGGTGAATTCTCCAGCTGTTTTTAATAACGATTACAGTACGTACTCTTGCCTGCTTCATGTAAGCTAACTATTGGACTTGAGCAAGTACTACCACGTATTATTTTTTTTATTTGAACATAACCTAACAAGCAATACTGAAAGTGAGACCCCACTTATCTCTCTCTCTCATACATGTAAAATACTGACATACTACGTCGTGTACCTTATCGATAATTATCCATAATTGATAAATTGTGTTATCATTATTATTATTATTATTATTAGTATTGTGTTTTAAATTTTTTTTGAAGAAGAAGTAAGTATAGTAAGTTACTAAATAATAAAATAGGTACGAACATAATTGAAAGAATTTGAAAATATTTTGTTTCCCTGAGTCTGAAGAGCTGGAACACTTGTATTGAACTGCGTTGAAATGGGCTGTTGATTTATAAATGTTGATGATGGTCTGCTGGCTTGTTTCTTCACTGATATAGCTGGAACACTGGTGTTGAAGACTGTACTGCACCGTGTTGAAATGGCTGGAGACTGTTACATTTTGACGATATTTTGCTGGCTTTTATACACAAATATTTTCCACCTACTATAAATTTTCGCTAAATATTTGCAATAGTCAATTTTATTATATGACCTCAAAATTATTAGAATGTACCCTACAGCAGTCAATGACATTAAACAACATTATATTATTTGCAACACTTAAAATAAGTTTCAATACTGGTTCTGAACAGGATGTGAAAATGTAGTAAGGTTTTACAGGTCATTGCTACGAGCATCTGCTTATAGCCAAACAGTGGCGTGGCGAAGGGGGTCATCGAGAGGCGGCCGCCTCTCAGTTTTTTAATGGGGGGGGTGGGTGCCATTGGGTGGGTGGGTAATAGTTTAGTTTCATAATTATTACAAATGTAGAAAAATAACACACAGAAATATATTTTAATAATGATATAAGGAGAAGTCAGTGTGGCCACTTGCTAGTAGGCAGTAATTGTAGTGCAGCACCTAGTACCAGTAACTATAACTACTGTCTAACCACTGCAGCAGGCTGCCAGCTGGTAACAACAAGTACATTGGGACGGTATATCGTATTATTATTTATTGTTATCGATATCAGAAGTATAAAAATAGAATAAACTTTCTGAACAACCGGTGAAAGAAATTATCTTGTGTGCACTGTAGACTGTAGTACCTAGTGTAGTTGGACGTTGGACTCTATAAAATATCACATATCGTTATCGCATTCCCAATATTATTTTTAATTATTTTGTTCGCCGTTCGTGAGTCGACAACACATGTCACATAATTTTAAGTAATTAACTAATAATGAGTAATATGAAGTGTGAATACTGTGGACGTGAACGGGATTTAAAAAAAATTAATGAAGTTAATTGGAAGCGACATGTTAGTTCGTGTAAGCTTAAATTTAAAGGTGGAAACAAACGTTTGGATACATTGAATTATTTTTTCAAAACGACTAAACCATGTATTACTGGTGAGTACCTACTTCATTAATATACTTCATTAACACATCATGTTGATTTAATACATGTGGGTATTAGTCAATTAATGTTATTAAAAAGTATACTTTCTAATGAATAATAATATTATTATGAAAAACTGTAAATAATTTTTGTATACTATTTTACATAGGTATTTTGGATTTGGATATATCTTTAAATAATGATGGTAAACAACTTGTCAATTATCCCTCTGCTTCTTGCTCGAGTTTTTTTAACCCAACAGGTATTATTCAATTTATGTTCTAACAAATTATACTTACTAATAATATTATTATTA